CTTCTTAGATGATATTTGGTTTTCCACTTGGCTCGCCCAAGAGTGGTCTCGAACTCGCGACATCCTACTACCGCATACGCCCTTTACGAGCGTAGCTAGCGAACCCGCCGAGTATTTACTAGTTGTTGACTCATTATGTTCATCAAGTTGTCCTTATACTCTGGTATAAGAAAACTCTGGTCTTCAGTGTTGCTACAACGAACACATGTTTTACAGCTGATGACCCAAGATGGTCACCTAAACCTCAAAATATAGAATAATAGAAAATATAGAATATATAGAATAGAAAATATAGAATAAAAATTTTTCGTTTGAGGCTTTGTTTTCGAGAAAATCGACTTTAAATTTTCGCTCGATACGTGTGCGGTACGTTATAACGGATCTCACTGTAGATCGTTGCTTCGATGGAAAGAATTAAAAAAAAAATTTTTATTCTATATTTTCGACTTCTTTTTTCGCGTAGAATCATCCCCTTTCAGCTTGTACCACCAGTTACCATCCACCCCGTATTCCTAAAATAACAGATTTTTAATAAAACAACTAGGAAATAAAAGTAATGGCAAACAGCAAATTTGTATCAAATAACACAGCTCTCCTTCGAAAAAACCTATCTAGCTTTTTTCCACTTTCTATTATAATTGTCGAAGTATTTGAGTTTCTTTATGCTCTTTAACTTTTACGTAAAGTTATTGTCGCTACAAATTAACTAAAATGTTTGGATGTATGTGTATTTCAAGTGCCTAATGAATAGACAATACAATATTCTAGTACTTGTGACTGACAAGATAAATCTATATACAGACTTCATCGTGCGTTTCATAATAATTGACATAACACGCTTTTCTAAACTACGCAAATGAAGTATGTGTTTATCTAAGCGACAGAGCATAATACATACATACATATATATGTACGTCGCGACACTTGTAATGAAACGCATTGCACGAAGAAATGTGCACTCTGTTTACGGCGAGCATGCCAACGACAGATTAAACCGATCTTAAAATAGAAGGTCAGTCTGCATTGCATTGAAAATTGTCACATTTATATGGAATCAGTCGCTCTGTTGGGGAACGAAACGTTGAAATAGATTTATGCGACGACACGTGAATGCTACTACCGTCAGAGTCAAAATATAACGGGGTCTCTTATAAATATTTGGTTTTGTGAATACTACAGAGGACAAGTGTGATAAGTCACATACAATATCATAATATTTATCTATAAATTATATCTATATATATATATTTGTGATATATATATATATCTATATATATAAATATATATATTTATATATATATTTGTGATATATATATATATATTTATATATATAGATTATAGAAATATATATATATATATATATTTGTGAGAAAAGGATTTTCCTCAAATATAAAAAACAAACGTAATTATTATATTTCCAGCTACAAAGCTGACGTTAAATATAAATCTAGTAAATTATATTGTGCACTTTCATATCTTTCTAATTTTAAATACTTGGTATTTAAATTTTGTTTACTAGAAAAAATGTTTAGTATCTGAGAAAAATTTAAATATATATCGCTGTATGTTTATCGATTTCGTGTTATTATAAGTAACTATAACTTTAAAAAAAAATTATATTAAACGTAATTAAAGGTATCTACATAGGTATTTTAATACGTAAGGTAAACGAATAGTTCTTGTTTGCAATGTGCTAGTTGCATGGATGGTAATCACTGTGGAGTTAAAGTTCGTCTGACAATAATGGTAGATACTATATGTCGAACATCTATCCTCTGGTCATATTATTATATATGCATATATGCACAGTGTCAACGATATCTTCGAGACAATGTCTCTGATTGTAACATGTTTGTAAAACGATAACAAGATAATGTTACGATCGTATACAATAGTTAGGAAATTATTTTTAAACCGTTATGATTTACGGTGTGTAATGTCTGTAGATAATAGAATTTTAATTTTCTAACGGGAATATTAAAAAGAAGATCGTCTTATGGGATTAATTGAGTTGCTACAAACGCAACTAGAATTTCTAATAGTGTTAATACTATTAATGCAAAATATTAATAGTTTCGTATAAATTCTATCATATTTTATCATATTTTTCTATTTTAATTTTACAATCTGTTTCCTCAACTCTTCCATTTCTTTCTATTTTATATTAATTATGATATTAAAAGGAAAGATGAACCAACTGAACTATGGGTATTTATGCATTTATGGAATATAGAATGAAATTAGAAAATGCAAAAATACATGAGATATTATTGGATGTCTACAAAAGTGTAAGCATCCACACAATAATTACAATTATTTTTTTCAATAAACGAACAAATGTCTAAAACCATTGAATTTTTTATCAAGAGGAAAAATTTCTTTTAATTACCTAAGTCGTTGTCTTCGCTTAAAAGAATGTACATGAATGAAGACGTGAGACTCATCGTCTTCATTCGTGGTTCTAACTCCTAGATTAAAAATAGAGATTTATAATCCCAGAAAAAATTATATATATATTCTATATATATATAAAAATTATATATATATAGAAATCCGTTGAAAAGCTGCTTTATCGTTTTACGTACACGTTTTAAATAGAATATTTTTTATTAGTAACACTACGCGAGTCTCTTGCCTAATAATGCATTAATTCCCTTAAGGATTCCCTTAAGGATTTTCGTCGGTTTATCGAAACGCGGCAAACTTCTTCCTCGCGTGAATTGCTGTTTAATAAAATTTACATCCTAACTACTATTACACGCAAAGTGGAGCCGTTCTGAACTCTCTTACATATGCCGAGTCTACGAATAAAGGATCAAGCGGGAAGGAGCGAACTTGTATGTGGTTAATTCAACAATAGGTCAAAGTTTAATAATTCTCTGTCTTTATTGCTGATTTCTACAACGAATACATAGAATTCCAATACTATCTTTGAGTGAGTTTCAGTTTTATGTGACTATGTTATTAGTCTCTATCTTCGCATAATCATTTTTCGTTAAATTTTATTATTGATTTCTGGTGAATAAAGTTATGAATATATCAGATTCCAATTATGATATTATTTTATTAACAAATTTCTACGTCGTGTAAAAAATTATTTTGTTAGTTTCAATATCATTAATTTAATCCTAGTTTTTCATACGAATGTATCAAATTCTAACTATGATAGTACTTTATTAATAAAAATTGATTTCGTGCGAATACTTCATTAAGGATGAAGTGCACTTTGTAATAATAAAAAGTATAATTTAACAAAAAGCAGCTTAGTATTTTAATTAATAAATATGTTATATTGCACTAAGATGTATACAACATACGTTAAACGTTGTGATAATTTAATAGCTAAAGATTGTGCGTAATCAATAGAAAGATAAGATTCGCCCACTTTTATTGTAACAAACAACACTTACTGCCTACTTTCACAGCATTGCAAGCCTTTTACGTAAGAGATTTCGTATGGTGTATTGCGACAATGTCCTCGCGAATATATCTAAGATTTCAAAATGCAAAGAACAATAGTTTCAATAAAAATAATCAAACATGATATACTTAAACATCTAAAAAATAATTAAATTCGCCTAATTGAAAAATCGAGCTTTCCGCCAACGTTCAAATCTTCCAACTAGGTACGCTTGTAACGCAAGCTATAAATACTCGCGCGGTATAGAACATCGATATAAAATAGTAATTACTTATCCATGAATACCAACAAACCAAGAAAATACTACGACGTTTATAACCTATGACGTCTTAAACAATAAAAGTATTAAAATGAATTATTTCATAAAAAATTTCCAAAAATTAATTATTGGCTAAACGATCGTTGGTTATTATAAAGTTATTGTAGATAATGTAATAAGCAACGGAAAAAGTTCGGCTTACCTTTGTTTTGAGCGATTTCCATCTGGTTCTGTTTGGAGAAATCATTGAGGTTATTTTGAAACGTGGATCCGTCATCAGACGTCATCGATTCGCCTTCCGATATATGTATTCGATTTTGGATAAACAAGCAAAGAGAAAACAACTCGTCCGACCCGCCACTGCACACCTTGTCACGTTGCTTCCTCGAGTGGAATTTCTGAGGATACCTATCGACCGACTCGTCGTACCTCGTGGCACAATCGAACTCATCGACCAATGGACGTAATAGACAATAGTCACGTGCAAGTTTCGACAATATATTAAGGGTAATCCATTGACAATGATATGTGTAATGTAATATACGAATTTCTTTTGATTCCTTGAACGTATATCAATGTATTGCATACAACTCATCAAAACTTACCGACTAATCGTTTGAGTGACGAATGTGTCGTTGATTGCTTACTAACTAGAATCATCATATGTCGGTTAATATCGTATATAAATATGTAGGATGGCATTATTGTACATTGGAAGACACGAAACTGTCTTGAAAGAACTAAAACAGCGATATTTATAGGTATTCTTATTATATCCCACAGCATTTAATAGTGATGTTCTTAATCATTAATTGTAGCATGTTTTCATAAATGCAGTACAATTACATAAAAGAATAAATGCATGGTATCTTCTCGGATCGACTTCACGTGCATCGACGAAAATAACGTTTGTAATTATACTATTGGAGACGTGCAATTTCCCGCGAATTTTGCGTTCTCTGTTCTTTCTTGCACGTGTGAACGTTAATTGCGAGAGTTGAAGGGTATTGAAAGATTAAGGTCAAGACAAATGGAACGTCGCATTAGGGCCAAGTCCGTTTTATGAGAAAACCTATACGAGATACATATGTACATGTACCAAAGGCGGAGCTGCATCGGTGGACGGTGCATGAAAAGATAAGAATTGTTGTCGACAGGGTTCACTGAACTTTATTAACATGTAACAATGAAACGGAAGTTATAGGACTTGGTGGACAAGAAATCTGGCGATCGCACGCGTTTAACGACCGTTCCCGGTAGACTGACGGAAATTCAGTCAAAAGTCGAAAGGTTTATTTTTGGTTAGGTTGTCGTGCCAAAGGAGGACAACGTGGCCAATGTCGCATATGTACTAGTGGCGTCAAAACAATTGGCCTGACGACGTAAACGGCCTGCGTTACCGGGCCTCTGTTATTCTACAAGGTGACTAAAAACACATGATTACAAAACTAACATTTTTCTTCTTTTTTCATATCATACTTCATCAACGTTCGACTATACACATTTATCCCGTGATAATACTTCCCTATAGCCTCAAAAGACACTTTTTTTCTTATTTACCACACAACCATAGGGTACATATTCTCTCAAATGTCGGACAACGTTTAGAAAATCAAACATCGCCCAACTTCTGGTTTCTTCTTTTTCTCCGTTAATTCATCACGACACGACATATCGTGCTCGGTTATTGAAAATATCCTTAAATAATACGCGGTAAATGTCTCAAAAATAAGTATCGATACTCATTCCATTTTCATCTATATTGTACATTAAATCTTGCGTTACCGTAAACGATTCTATATCATTTATTTATGTGACAGTGCTGTTCAATTTCAACTCCAGAGTGTAGAGAAGAATTCTGCCACTCTGTCGCATATGCTACGCATACACGCTACCAATATGAGTTTCTCGCCTATATCCGTTCGTTTTTAGAGAGAGTTAGAAAGAGAAAGAAATAATATTTGATCTCTTCCCCTTTTTCTTTTCCTCTTATAATATGATGACACGCAAAGGGGGACAAAGTCACATAAGGGGCCCCTCTCGTGGACAGCACTGATTTACGCGCACAGAATTCGCCGCGCAAACAGATCACACGAGAGAGCATTATTGAGATACAATTCATGAATAAAGTATACGGCTAGGAATTACGTCTGCGTGGAATACGGAATAAGAGAGTTATTGCGTTATTTTTACAATGGCATATCAATGCATATCGATTATTGCGCATATGTTATCCGCCATGCCAAAGTACAACCTCGACTCAACGAAATCACGATCTGATTTCGAACCCGATACTCTGAAGAAATTTAAAGAACCTCTCGACCAACATCTTCTCGTGTTGATCCCGTTTGGTGGCGAGATCAGCGATCTTGTTGGTGTACGCGCGGAATGCTTGCACGAGAAAATTGTGGCACAACATCACATCGTTGTCCGCTAATAATTTTTGAACATTTTTTCTTTCAACCGATCTGTCATCGGATCGACCGTCGACATTGTGTTCATCTCCGCGACAGAAACGATTCGTCGTCATAAAACGCAGGAGAAGATACGCGAGGAATCTACGATGACACCAGAGAGCCTCGTGATCGTTATACATGCAAATAGCACTGTCATTCGCGCGACATTCTTCCAGCCAATATGACAAAGAACGGAAATACGCTGTTTGATGTTGTTTCGTTCTCGACGGAGGAGTAGTCGCTCTGAATTCCGCGTTCGTTCTACCGAATAACCTCTGCAATTGATGCATGTCCTCTGTATCACTGATGTTCGATTTAACGTAAGCGAACAGTTCCTCTTTCCATTGCTCCCCGACATCCGGGCACTTTATAAACGGTTCCCTCGGCAGTTCCTTCAATTCGAACATGTACTTATTCAACAGGAACTGTCGATAGGAAAGCCCGCTATAATCCGATACGTGTCGTTGACACCATGCCAGCGAATTCTTCCATTCTGTCTCTAGAGTCGGATAAGCGAATCCACACGATTCACGAAGAGTCATCACATGACGCCTGTGACTCCAGGCATGATAGTTGCTCGCGTATCTGTCCGCGCACGTAGTCGCTATATCCAGTTCCCTACAGAAGGGCGATTCCACCGATTCCGGATCGTAATGTCCATCCTTACTGTTCAATATGTACGACAATAACCACCGCCGATAGGCAAACGCCTCGAAACATTTCGGCTTATGATATAGCACCAATCGTGAGAAAAAGAATTCCTCAGGTGCTTCCAACTTGTGGCTCCTTACTAACTCCCGACGCATATTCCAAAACGTCGTGACGTCTGGATTCAATAACAACGCGCCCAATAACCATCTTGCTATTGTGCTTGGTTCCTCCCGCCTGTGTTTATTTTGCCGAAGTTCGAAGAGACGACGATAAGCATAGCAGTACAGTGGTTGCACGCACCACGACGCCAACCCGAGACAGTCCTCCTGATGGAATACAGGCGATTTGTTCTCATTGTCTTCCGCGGGAATTATTTCGAAACTCTTCCTGAAATTGCAAACGAGTCAAGGCTTTACTCACGCGAATTCTCGCATTCTATCAACTGCTGCTGTAAAAAGTAACTTAAGTAATGAATAACGATTTTCAATGTACAACAAATATGTACAATTTATATAACTGAAGTGAAAAATTGTTATTAATCCTTTTATATCCTTCGGATCATTTTCGACTCAATTGCGTTTCTCTATTGTTAAAGAATTTCTTAAGTTTGAGCAAATTATACGAAGAGTAGGTTTTTTCTAGTTTAACTTTTATACTACAATTTTTCTTCAAGCATTACAGCACTATATGCTTATTAAAATAAAAGATATGTTAGAACATAAAAATTCACAGAGCTTATCAGGGTTAAATATTATTCAATATAAATAAATACGGATATGGCAATACATTTAAAAAATGTTTAAATTATATCTCAGAAGGAATGTTATGAATTACATAACAACATAAGGAATATTTATAGGATAATGTAGGAATAGTACCACCTTTTAGATGTACATATGTGTACATACTGTTATAAAATTATATTTTTAACATATCTGAATTTAGTTTGATATATATTATCATTATTGGTTATTGGTATATGGTATACGTGATACATGCAGTTATAATACTTGCAATATACATACATGTTATAATATATATATATAATGCACTTTTATACAGTAGAAAGAGAGAGAGAGAGAGAGAGAGAGAGAGAGAGAGAGAGAGAAAAAGCATGTTCAATAGTAAGTATTAAGATTTAATAATCGCGATGGCGCCAGTTTCCTATCGTAAATACCAGATACCAACATTGCTAATACTGTATTTACTATGCAAACCTTTTACAAAGCGTCGTATATGCTTATGTCCGATTAAAATGTACAACGATGATGTTACGATATAATTTTATCAAAATTAAAACACGCTATGTGAAACGTTGCACCGTCTATACGATAAACACGTTAAGAGACCAAAATCTAAGGATTTAGTGGTACATTTCATAGATATTTTTAAAGACTCCGCCCTCGTAATGTATCTAAGAAAACACTCACAGTGACGGATTCTTCTTCACCACATTTTCGATGTCGGAAAGGATTTTCTCTGCAGCTGGGAAAATATCGTCTTGCATTGTAACCTTGTCACTATTATTCGTTACATGTCTCGGGAAATCAGGTATAAACCGATACACAATTAACCCTTCTGTTTCTCTCACTGCACCTTTCAATGCAGGCACGATGTAGCGTTTTTCTGCGGAAGTGTGGGGGATATACTGCGATACTGTTTGAAGTTTACTGCAAGTCTCGAATGTTCGAAATCAAATGGCGCGAAATTATTACCTCTGAATTGTGCTAAGAAAATATTAAATCTACATATATTTCTCTTTTTAAGAAAACAAATTAAATAGATGTAATAATATAAACATGTAGCTTATTATTTTATTTTTAAAACATCAGGCTAATTAATATCTTGTTATATATATATTTATAGAACAATGTCTTATACTACTATTGATATCTATAGAAATATTAACGGCAGAATGCTCTGTCATGCAATATAACAATAACTGTTAAAATAATAATTTAATCGAAATAAAAACTTTCCCCTTTTAAAACAATAAGTAGATACATTAATACTCACAAAAGATATTTGTTTTAAAACATGAAGAACACACTTTTTTTCATGTAAGTTTTACGCTAATTGATTTTAACGTAATAGTTTTATTTTTCAAAATTCGAAAGACATTAAACGTGAATTAGATAATCGATTGAAATAATCGACATTCTCGATAAGTTCATGTCATAAGAACATAACTTAATGGAATACGACGAGGAGTCTCCGGCTATCAATCGGTATAACCTATACGTTACAAAGTTCCTCTTCATTTCATTTATAGCTATTCATCTTACCTTATAAGGAAAAACTCGTTTAATCTGTAAACGCTTCGTTCCCTGCATCTGAGGTAAAATATTTAAATTAAAACAATGTCTGATCCTCGTATAAGAACTCTAAAAATTAAGACTGGAGTTGTGAAACGTCTCGCGAAAGAAAAAGTCACTTACGAGAAAGAAGCAGCACAGCAACGTGAAAGGATACAAAAATTAAAGGAACAGGGTGAGAACACTTGAAAAATGCAGTCGAAAGTTTGTTGTATTTTTTTGTTATTTCGATCCTTTCAATAGCTGTGTTATTTATTCAAACATTTTCATATCCTTCTTTTTTATTTCTCATTTAATACGCTGAAATATTTACTTGATTAAACAACTGATATATTACTCATTATTATGCCTGTAAATGTATTCAGTACATGAGATGATGCAATAAAAAGTTCACTTTATTTCTATTTCTTTGAAAGGTAATAGTTATCTCGCTTTAATTTTATTACAGATAAAGATGGTTATGATATAAAAAAGCAAGAAGAAGTACTTCAAGAATCTCTCATGATGATACCAGATTGTCAACGACGTCTTGTTAAAGCTTTCGAAGAACTTAAAAAAATTTTAGACACAGAACAAGATTTAAAAGAGGTTGAAGATTATATAGAAGCAGAAAAGGTATTGCAAGGTGCAGAAGCTCAACTTCCCAAAGAAGGAGAAATTATGGAGATGTGTTAAAAAAACAAAGCCTATTGAGTTCTTTAAGATATTGTCGAAAATTGAAAGAACTATATTTTCATGTAAGATAATATAAGATTTGTAAACGAGTTAAAATAATCATTTCATACGTAAAGGAAGTGATAGTATTAAGGTATATTATATTTTTTGAAATTAAATAACTTGAAATTAAGAAATTAAGTAACTTTGAACAATTATGTTTAATAATCAAAGTCGTTTAGAGGATGCTACACAAAGTTGTAGGGATTCATGCTACAATATGTCTTATCCAATAGATCAGTCCATTTATAATGCCAATTATAATATGAATGTATATCAAAATATTGTTTATTCAGCTGCTATATCTGATAATGAGAATGCTACATCAATAATTAACTTAGGAAGACGACAAGCTGACGAAAGAGATATTGAAAATTTTCTTCTAGAAATTGATCAATCTAATAATATAAATGACCAGAGAAATACCTACAAAAAATCTAAGATTGCAATAACTAAAAATGCTATAACATCGGCATACAAATTAAATGAGAAGTTAAAAGTAATTTGTGCAGAGCTTAAAAATAGCCAGCATTTAACAGAAGAAGAATGGCAACAGAAGATAAGTATCTCTAATGCAGCAAAAGAAGAAATTGTTAAATTATTAGAGCCTATTAGGGATCAGAATTTTTGTAATCAATTAAAAAAAGATTTAGAAAGACGAAAGAAAAAGAGGTTGAGAGAAAAAATGAAAAGGGAAAAATGGAAAAATGAGAAATTAATGAGAATGGAAAGGAGAGCAAAAATGCATGCACAAATTGACTCGTGGATTAGGAAGGAACAAGCTGTAATAGAGAAAGAAAAGCAAGAAGAAAATTTACGTAAAGATGCTGATATGATTTTATTTGATGTTAGGGGGAAAAGAACTGATGCTAGGAAATATCTTGGATTGTTACAAGAATTGCGAAATTTGCGAAATGTTAAGGCCAATATTGCCAGAGCTAGAGGGGAACATTTATCTTCAGCAGCAGATAAAGCATTTAATAATATTATTGGTATTTATTTGTAATAATTATTTTGATAACTGTATCTGACAATTACATCGTAAATATATATATATATTTTTAGCCAAACTAACAGAGCAATGGTCGATGCTTGATCGTGAGTATTCTATAGAGGAACAGGGTTTAAGATTAATGTTGAAAAATGATAATGAAGAAAGAATTGAAAAACAAAAAAGGAGTCTGTTTGATGAATGGGAAAAAGTATTATTTGGAAAAAAAATAGCATCTGATCAATATAATATAGATTTAACCAAACTAATTATTATAAGGTAAACGTAACTATTATCATAATTATATATTATTACTATTTTCATTACTACAACTGCTTTATTTCTAGAACTGCTTGGGATAAGTATATAAGTACAGACAGCAATGCATCAGCAATACCAATTGGGTGGGTAATGCCTGATGAGCCATCCTCTGCTGCCTGGCAAAAATGCTTAAAAAAAGAAGTTTCATGAAATAAACTCATAGTATGCAATTGTAGATTCTAGATTGTGAAAATAAGTAAAATTTGATATCGTCTAATAATTTATACTATACAAATATAAACAGTACACATTATACGCATTTAAATATGATATGATTTAAGAAAAATAAACGCTTCTCTGGTCTACTGTATTTTAAATATTTATACCCACAGTTAATTATATATATCATGATTTGAATATTCTTTTAGAACTGAAAGCGTGTAATGTTTCAATTTTATTAAAATACGTATTAAGAGTTTTATTATGGTACATAAATCATATTGTATTAAATTATATTCATGCTATACTTAAAATTAAATTTTTTTGAGCTGCACTTGAAGGTTCCAAGGCCTGGACATCTTTTGCTGGTGCAGGAAGTATATTTTCCGCAGCAGACAATATCATATGCAATTTTCCTTGTAATTCTGATAATGCTAGTATTAAATTCTCTTCTTCTTCTAACTTCGCCGCTAAAATACTAAACATTTTTCGCGGTTCTGCAGCAAGTTCGTCCAAATGATCTTCATAAACATCTATTAAGAAGTCGATTTGAATAAAATATATACTTTTCGAAACAAGTGCTTTTTAAACAGTAGATATAAAAAGGAAAAATTTACAACATACCCATTAATACATTAGCTACATATAATAAAACTCTTCCAAATCGAATATTTCCTATATGTCTATTCAGAAATTTAAGAATATTTACAAGAGATTTGCCATCTCTACCGCTAAGAGCTTGTTTTAAGCCCTGCCTTCTAATAAGTTCCTGCATAAGTGCAACCGTAACATGTGGTACTTTATTTACCACATAACTGGACATGACACAATCTAAAGCTTTTGAATATTCGAACTTTCTTAAACAGGTATCATGTTTGGACATAATTTCTTTCGTTTCTTCATGCACCACAACATCTACTTGAGGTGTATGTAAATTTCTTCCAGAGCGTCTGTATGAAACCTTTTTACATTGCAGTTTTTCACTTTTTACTTCTTCCTCTCTTCTTCTCACAGAAATTAAACCATCAATCATACCAGCTACTATTGTTTCATCATTTGGCTGCAATCATAAATTGCATGCAGACTTTTGATTTGTGATTAAGAATATAAAGTATAATGCTGTTTTATACTATGATTAAAAATATAAAATGTAATTTTTTTCTTACACTAATTCCTATACTAAGAACTGAATTAGGATAATCCAAGGAATGAACAGTTTTATATGTTCCAGAGTCATAAATTTTTACATGTCGATCCAATGAGCCAGACAAAATCCTGTGTCCATTTGAAGCTATTTTTAAACACGTTACAGTTTTATGATGTTGGGTAATTTTGGCAAGTAATCTGCCACCAGCAAGTGCATCCCAAACTCGAATTTCTGTCCCACCTGTTCACAATCAGAAAAATATAATTAGATGTATATGTGAAACACCTTTTTATTTTAAAGAAATATTATATTTTATCAAAATCAAAATAACATACCTGCAGATAAAAATATTCCACCAGAGGGTAAGAATAATAAACTTTCAACAGGAGCTTCATGGTTTACACTAAGAATTTGTTTGCTTGTTCTTGTATCATACATATATATATGTTTGTCATAACCACCAGACAATAATATGTCTGTAGAAATAGGACTAACGGCACCAGCTCTGATATAATCTGAATGTTCATTAAAGGATATTATTTGCTTTTCACTTGGTATATCCCAAACAGCTACAGTCTTATCATCAGAAAATGAAGCAATATGAAGATTATCTGCAGTGAAGAAAGTTCTATGTATAGCAGCTTTGTGCCCAGAAAAAAGTCGAAGAAGACTTTTTGTGTTGACATCAAAGAGCCTAATTACTGCTTCTTCACCACCAGCACAGATTAGCTTGCCATCATTACGAAAGGATCCACCATAGGCAGCTTCTTTGAATCTACTGAGATTTTTTGTAACTAACTTTGTAATTGGGTTGTATACCTGCACTCTGACTGAACAAGTGACAGCAAAATAATGTGGTTCTACTGGAGAAAAATCGATATAATCGATTGGCCCAAATTCTTTAACTAAAACAGGAGCCTGTAGAACAAATGACACAATCACATTTTTATAAATTTCAATTTCACAATACCCTTAAATAGTTTACATAATATATAAATAATCATAAATACTAGTTACTTCTAGGTTAAGTTTTGTATACGTGAGAGCATCATGAATAAACAATACTATATGATTATAGAAAACTTAATTTCTTTTGTTGCCTTTGTTGTTACAATATACTTACACTATACTTTTTCCAATATATATTATCCGGAGTAAATTCGGAGTTTGGTCTTGCGAATACTTTAGTATTTATTTTCTTGAAGGACGCCATTTCTTTCAAAATGTCAGCTGTAATAAAATTCAGTAGAGGGGGTAAACTTCTCCTGTTGACAATTGATGGAAGGTGCTCCGTTCGATTTTCCTGACTGTTCAAGAATCTATTTCCCTGTTACAATCATTAAATACAGAAACTTCTAATAATCATTTCAGAAATATTTCGAACGATATGTTTAGAAGATTTCAGTGTGCTTTGTTAAATTTACTATGGTTTTGCTGTTCGTTTCAATATGGCGATGGTTAGTTGCTTAGTGCTTCAACGGTCCCTTTGCTTATAATGAATTTCGTGGCTTTTCTTTCTATTCCCTTCTGTTATTTGAATACGAAACCTTGATGTTCATATTATTAACTATAAGTACGGGCAACTTATATAATTATGAATCTATGCATCTGATAAAAAGAAACGATTTCATCCGAAAAGTTTTGCTTAGACAGCACGATAGATTCGGCAATTTGTCGTCCTATTAAGGTTTGTTATATCTCATAAATAATCACAAAAGTGTAGATATTTATAAACGTATCCAACAATCCTCGGGGTCGGGAAACTTATAGTATTTTATAAAATAAGAAAAGAATTTGGAACTCTACTTCTGTTTCAGTCAAGGAAGAATTGCTGCCAAGATAATTTCTTATTATTTCACTGTATACCAGCCAAGTAAATAAATTTTGTATGCAAGAACATTTAAATATTCTAGTATACATTAATAAATAAATTATAAGATTGTGACATAATGGCTGAAACACAGCGAATGACTGTTTATGGTAGACATCCTCCTTGTGCGAGTGGAACTCGTTTAGAAGAACGTCGTACCAGAAGGTAAAAGAATATTACAGTACAAATTAGTTATAAAATTTCTATTCTAATTTGTATCGTAAATTATTATTCTGAACAATCTATAATGTAAATTAATTTTTTAAATTTAGATTAGCCTTAAGGTTGGAAAGAAATCGAAAATCAGATAAACCAGATGATTTTATATGTTATGAATCAAGTGATGACGAAGCAGAGACTGTAAGTGAAGGAAAACAGTTTTTAAGAACTTCCTTTAATTTTGTGGATTATGTACGTGCAAGAGAGACAAACACTAGAGAAGTGAGAAAAATTAATCAAGAGTATGGATTTCGACACATATTGACTCATGATTTATTTAAAGAATATTCGGTTAGCTTAAATAATATGAATAAAGTCTTTTGTTCTCAATGGTTAAGTGATAGGCAAGTAGTATTTGGTACAAAATGCAACAAATTGATGGTTTATGACGTAGCCACTCAGAAATTAGACCAAATACCATCTCTACATGGAAGGCAAATTAATTCAGGAGGTGGTGCTGTTCCCGAGCAGCAATGCGGTATACATTCTGTTCAAATCAATCCTTCTAGGTATATGAATAAAACATTTTGTATTCAAATTTAAAATTTATAGTTATGTTAGTATAACTTTTATTTATACTAACTTTGTAGTTTGTAATTGTAACTTACAGAACTCTCCTATCAACTGGGGCAAGAAATAGTAATGAAATAGCTATATATAGGCTACCAACATTAGATCCAGTTTGTGTAGGAGAAGGTGGTCATAGAGATTGGATTTTTGACATGTGTTGGCTAGATGATGAATTTTTAGTTTCTGGTTCTAGAGATACCAAAATGGCTTTATGGCGTATAGATAATGATCTTGCTGAAGCTCCTGACAAAGCGGATGTGCCAACACACAGGTTGCATTACATAAAATACAAGTAACAAGTATATGTTGTGTGAACATGTTACATTGTTTTATTGTTATTAGGTTGATTCAACCTGTATGTGTTAAAGAATGTAGATCTGCGCAAAAAGTACGTGCGCTTGTCTTTAATAGAACTTACAAAGAAATTGCTGCTATCACTCTGAATAATTTCATACACATCTGGTCTGCTGAGACTTTTAGACAAAAAATATCTAGAAAATTACCGGTTTGTCAAGAAAATGTTTGCCTTGCTGTACAAGATGATGGTGTTTATGCCGTAGGATGCCGTTCTTATACTTTACTTTTAGATGCAAGAACTGTGCAACCTATAAAAAGAATACCTTCACGGTACATGAATTAATTCTAATTTCTTCAAATTTGTTAAAATGTATATGATCTCCACAAACTATACTAAATCATAATATCTTTTCTATAGGTATAGCGGTTGTGGAATCCGATCAGTTAGTTTTCAAGGTTCTGTTTTAACAATTGGAACAGGCTTAGGAATGATGTTCTTTTATGATGTGAGAGCTCAAAAGTATCTCGAGTCTTCAATTAATTCTAACAGAATTGTTGTATTAAAAGCATCAAAGGGATACGTGGTATGTTCTGTTTAGGAATATACAGAAAACTCGAAAATATCGGGTTAGGAATTCTTTTACAGGATCAGGAATCCCGAGAGTATCTCGTGACATAAGAACATCAAGAAATTTCCCAAATTTCAAATAGCCGAAGCACGTTTTGAAATAAATATTGTTTAATATAATCGCAAACTGGAGTTTTCGAATTTTATAATGTTTTAGAATTTTACATATTATTAAATCTTAATCAAAAGTCTACAACTTTTACTTTTAGACAATAGTCTAATACAAACATTTTTGGTCTATGGTTGTATCGAGTAACATTTATCTTGAAACATATTTCGAGTATACTTATGGGTGACTATATGACTGAAACGTCGGGTATTAGAGATTTTAGATTCTCGCTAGGACATCTATTTTGTGTGTATGTATATTGAAGTTGATCATTTTTGTGTAAATATAATATTTATTTTCATGATAATTTTAGTTTCCTGATGAAGAGTACATAGATGGATTTCAAAATGTGAAATATACACCTGCTATATATACTCATTGCTATGATGGATCAGGAACTCGATTATTCACAGCTGGTGGACCTCTTCCCGTAAATCTATATGGTAACTACGCAGGATTATGGCAATAAAGTTAATTTTAATTAATTAAAGAACTGCATTGACTTTTACGTAAGTAATAAGTTGTACATTTAACTAAACATTATTAAAATTTTACCTCAGGAGGTATATACACCCAACCTAGACTTAAGAAACCTTTTCTGGTCATTATCATCTTTTATTTTTATGTTTGTATAATTTTACTCCTTTTCGATTTTATTATCTAATGAACTAAACAAAAAATTTTATTTATGTATTAAAATTTTAAGATACCAATATACGCTTTTCAAAAATTTTGATACTTTATGAACAAATGAGAAAGTAGGAAAAGATAATAAGAACATTTTATAATTAAAGGTGTATATATCTCGACTGCCTGAAGAAATAAGTGATAAAAATAAAGATATCCAATTTTTTATCATTTCAATCATATAGTTAATCCTGAAAGTGAATTTGATTGAATTGTCTCTTATTAATCAACTATATCAGCATGTTTGTATGCAATGTGGAAAGAGCCAAATTCAATGTACTATGTAAAATATCATTGTTGTGTAATTTAAAATTAACACATGGTAAACAATAATCCTACGATTGATTTATTTCATGGGTGACTTATTTTACGAGTTTATTACCATCTTATTGTAAAGTTGTTAAGCTAATGTCGTCTTTTAGTATGAAATTATGCTCTAGTATTGTTTACTATATATGATATTGAACAAATTATTGCATGAAAATCTTTCATAAAAAAATCATACCGGTGAATATTGAAGTACTTTAAAAATTGTGATCACTAATTTAAATCTTTATGTCATCTGCATACAGTGTGATTTTTAAAAGCACTTTAATCTGTGTTGTACATTTCTACATCAGTACAATAGAAATGAAAATTTAAAAAATAATCAACGAATAACACTGCAATGAACATTAAGTTTCTCAGATGCAATCTATCAAGTTGAAATTTTAATACTGGCCTTAGTAGAACAATATACAATGAATATTTGTTATAAAAAAACTTATTTTAGAAAAACAATATCTATTAAAGCCTTTATAATGTATTTCTGTATTACATAATAGAATGTGAAACATATATAATTTTAATCAATGCATGGATTAGAAAGCAATATCTTTTAAGTGTGCATGGCAATTGTTAAATGAAAAGAATCAATCGTTTTGTTAAATAAAATTAAAAAATATATATTTAGTTTATTATCTTCCAAATATTGATTTATTTAAATATTGAAATATTGATTTCTTTATATCATTTTTTGTTAATAATATTATAAATATAAAATTTAAAATCTATTAATTGTAACAATTTGTATTTTACATATGCAAAGATACAGTGGAAATATTTTAAATTGTAATTGCTCAAATTCAATCAAATTGATTATTCATATATTGTACATTTTATGATACAAAGGTATTAAAAAACATCAGCAGTGCATATTTGCAGTTACAAATAATGGTACACAACCTACGATTAATGTGTTTCTTGTATACAATTCAAAAAATGTATTTGAACAAACTACAGTCTGTTCTATAAGAGTTAACAATACCTCTGCAAAGATATTTGTCGAAAATCCATCTAAAATGTTAATACGCATTTATTTCATATATAATAGGTTCTATTCCCCTAGTGATTATTCTCTTTGACATCATCTTGGCATGTGAGACAAAAGTGTATATTTTTCAAAAGCGATGAACTAAAGCTGTGAATGTTAAAAGACAATTTTCTTGGAGTTTATACTTCATAATAGACTTTTTGTTTACATAAGAAGCTTGTCACTTATGCATTAACAGTGTTGAATTTTTAGAAAAAATTGATAAATCATTATGTCTTTCTTGTGTTTTTATAATATTGTATCCATTTTTTAACGAACTATGAAGAGTTATGCAAGTATTTAGTTGTACTTACAAAATTCATTTTCTGTTCCTTTGGATGAAAACACAGGATGATCGTATCAAATTGTTTTACATATAAAACACTTCATCTCGAAAAGCTCTGTTCTTTTCAGCAACACGAACGAATCTGAGAAACTTTAAATTAACATGTAATGGAGAAAATGATTGTATTGAGTTTATTAAAACTTATTCTTTATCAGATATTAATTTTCATAAATATCGTCTAAGTCTATATACTCTTGTAAGACAGACTGTACTTTTATTGAATGAAGTATTATTATAATGATGTTAATTGTGCATAACTACATTACACATTTGATTGTAAACAGACTTATATTTGATTTTTGGTCGAATTTTGGTGTACTTAAGTCTTAAGTGATGAAGTAAGTTCACCATTATGTTTGTCACTGTCAGATATATTTTAAATTTGTTGATGGTATAAAACGATGCAAGTGCATTTTCAATACTTAGGATAGAATTAACAGATCAAGAAATTGTTGACATGTAAACAATAAGTAATTGAATTATTAATATATCACAATGAATATATGTCACCAAACTATATTCTGTGTGTTTTTACATTAACAAATTATAAATTGCTGGCATATAGTCATTCATAAAGTCATTGCATTACATAATAAATAAAAATGTGTGTTGTATTTATACATTCATGATTAGACTGTACGACATGTATATGATTATGCATAATGAACGAATACATTGAATACATTTTAACACGATTATCAATATGTACTTTTACTACAAATACTACAAACAAAATATTATGAAACAATGCTACAAACTACTAATAATTTTGTTTCTGTAATAATTTCGTGTATTTCGGGATATACGTTTTAGCAGTGATTATTAAATGTGATTCATAAAGTTCACTGTTTTTCATATAAAATTTTTAAGTAACATTGAGCAGCTATTGTCCATGTTAAAACGTCCTAATTTTCATACTAACGTCACTTAAGCGAAACAAATCTAAGTATCGTGTATTTTAACTAAAATAATGCAATAGAAACAGTATAAATAAATAATTTTTATACTTAAACTATATGTATAAGTTACAAAAAAGTTTTGTACAGGTACAATCACTGCATCACTGTATCAGAAAACATTTTTTCGTATATCATATTTATTAAATGAATATCACGAAAAAGATTTGAGAAAATATTATATATTATAGTAACCTCTACAACTGTTCTTATATTTCTTAATAATTTTTTCCGATTTTCATCGATCTTTTTTTCTGTAAAATGTATCACGTGTATAATGTATTCTTTTTTTGTATTATAAGATCATAAGTTTATCATATACTATTCTGTATGGTTGTGTTTTTGTTAGATCTGTAGCAAAACGTCCTCTCAAAAATTATTTATGACTTACGTTAAGTATATGCGGACAATATATAAATTGCTTATAAGCTCATTCAAAATTTTGTTAAAAAAAAACTTGCGTTCTTTATTGTTAAAAAAATATCCAGTGCAATTAATATATGTATAAAAATTTCTCATAAACTACAACTAGATTATCCTTGTTTTTTGTTGCTAATTAAAATATTGTAACAATTATAAGTAAATATATACATTTTCCTAGAATAAATTATATTATCAAGCTACGTTACTTTTTCTCCGTACTTTTATTTAATATATTAAATACTAAATATTTCGTACAGGCAGTGCTACTTGATTGGTGAACAAATTGCACTAATTTTATATGTGTGCGTGCGCGTGTGTGCATTAAATAATCTATGTAAATAAATATGTCAAATCATTAATCACAATTGCGTTTATCAGTTTTTTCTTCTTTAGTCGCACTAAAGTGAATATTAAGAGAAAGAGAGAGACTTGTCTCATTACAAATAATTTATTAATGTTATATATATATACTATATATATATATATATCAATACAAGATTTTTATTTCGCTTAGAATCATCACAAACAACGTGTAAAGAGTGTATAATGTATACAAAACACGCGACACTGCAACATACTTGTAGTACATGTAATGTAAATGTTCAATTTAATTATCGAGGCTTTGCCATAACTATATTAGATATGTTGTATTTATTTTGTGTGCCGAAAATGTATAGATGCGCATTATGTGAGTAAAAACGGAGGGCAATCCGTCTTTGTAGATACACTCGTCGATATGTCAGAGTATCAGAATATAGCTCTTTGACGAGTGAAAGATTATACCTTCAAAAGGATATCTTTGGAGCACGTATCTCTGTCAGTGCGTCCTTAGCGATGACAGATTGTTTCTTTTACGTGCTATTTTGTCGGGATTAACAAAGTAGTTTCTACCGTAATTACTATAAACCCATCTTGGGGCATAAATAAGCTCATTTCTTTTTTTTTTTTTTGGTATAGATTGACAATTGATATCCTAACGCACAAGTCTCGTAAATAAATATACACTGATCGTAACAATATACATTCTGAAAATAAATAGAGTATTTCACAATTATTGCATAAATTGGTGAGCACTACTGTGTGAAATCGATCGATTCTCACGACAAACATTATATTTCAAAAGCCTTTCTCGCGTCGAAAACATATTTATCATTATCTTTTCTTACACAGGCGATCGCAAATAACTGGTATCACACGTACACTTCTTTCTTTTCCTTTGCTTTCTTCTCTCTAAAAAATAATCAGGGAGAAGAGTTATTATCCTCCCTTAATTATCTTGGTAATTTTCGTTCATGCTCCCCGTTAGTCACGAAAGCGCAGTCATGTTTAAAAAGGAATCAAAGATGCCCAGCATCTAAGGCCTTATTGATATCACTAACTAGCATCCCGAGGATAGATCTATGTTCCGAATCCTGTCTAAAAACGGAGTCCAAGAAGTCGGAATGCGTTAAGAAATCGAACACTTGATCACACCGATCTTGAGACTTGTCTGTGAGATGTGGCTTTATGAGTGCCTGTATCGCGGTTCTGCATCGTTCTAACGATTTGATTAAATACGCCCGATCGAAACTGAACTCCAATTCGTAAAACGAGACCACAGACATTGCTACAGCTCTAAGGGCAGTTCTTATTTCCACGAGTTTCGCGTCGTCGGTGGCGTTTAATTGTTGATTACGTTGTAGGAGACCCACCTAAAATGAAAGTATTTAACGAATATGAGAAATAAAATCGCGATTACTTTGCATATCTATGTCACAGCAATCATCGAGGGAGAGACAAGTACCTTAATGGATAATTTAACGATATTCTTTAAAACCTTTTCAGGCTGTTTCTTGTCTAAATTAGAATTGGTTTTCGCGGCTCTTTCCATAAGCTTATACAGATTGTCCAAAAGTGACGTAGTGGCGTCATCTATCAGCAATGATCTTCCGGCCCCTGTAGATACGACTCTGCCGAGGAGTTTTTTTTGTGCACGAAGACCTAAATCACGAGCGCGGCTTCCGGTGCCCCCGGCGGGATAAGATCCGCCGTTCAATGTAGTCGCCGACTGCATCACTGGGGAAAAAATTGCAAACGCTGTACCATCTGCTCGGGGAGATATGGGGTTGAATAATGATCCTTTTGTTGCATGAAAAGATCGACTTGTGAAAATAGTACAAAGGGTGCATTAGGAAAGTTAGTCTATA